TGTTTAGACAAATTGCATACAAAAGAGCATACATTTCCATTGATTAACAGTAGACGTAGTCTTTAATTGTAAGGGATATTCAAATAGATTTAGTAATAAACATATGTTTTCCATAATAATGAGAATTTAAAACTCGTTCGTTTAATTGTATTTTCTAGACATTCGTCCATTCATTAGAAATCCTTTCATTAGATATATATAGTGAACAAAACCTTCTTCTGGTTGTATTAATCTTTGATAATCTAATTATTGTCAAAAAACAAATGTATGACTGATTTAAATATCTAATTATAAGGAGTGGTATAAGTAATGGCTTATTCGCCTAATGTATAGCAATTGTGTCACTCCTTTGATACACTTATTTTATTTAATCATTTTATTCTCAATACTAATTAAAACTAATTTTTTGTTTTAACGTTAAGATTTCAAATAAATAAGTGTAAATAAAAAATAGATAAATTATCTAGCATTTCTAATTTAATTCTAATTTAGTTTAACTTATAAAGTAATTTTCAAGAAAATATTTAAAATTAACTTTAAAATTAAAATGACTTAAACGTAAATGAATTAAATATAGTGAATGAAGTTTGAATGCAACGCGTGTTAACAACACTGCCATTAGTGTTGCAATTTGTCTCTAATGTCAGGTTTTTTAGTTAAACAGTAATCCAGTTTTTCACAATATTATTAGTATTAAATTAGTTTAAATAAAATTGTTAATCGTAATGTTATGCTACTATCAGTTTTATAATCACTGTTGTCATTATCATTACTATTGTCATTAACACCGGTAATGAATACAATAAGAATAGCTATCTATTGATTGAGTATTAATTCGCTCATTTGTAGTCATGTCTTGTATTTAATTTGGTTTTTATTATACCATGAATTAGTAGATCATTTGCTACCAAATAGAGCTTTTAAAACACCATTGCCAAATAAACAAGCACTATTACAGTTTACAGTTTAAATTATTAAGAAAATAAATACAATTATATTATGTTATACAATGTATAATTTATACTTTATATACCAAATAGTAAATATACAAAGATTATTTTAATAGAATAATATTTTTACATGTGAGTGTCAAATAAATAAAGTACATTCTATTATTTATTTATATTATTTAATTGTTGAGAAATGGATTCAATCCTAAATTGTTAAACTCATTTGACTTATTCTTAATTGAAATAATACATTAAGATTTGGATATACTGTTATATGATTGGTTCATTCAGTTATTTTAATAGTTACAGTATTATGTATAGTATTTCGCAATTTTTACGAACTCAACTTTGGAGACAAGAGTTAAGTTTTGACACAATTCATCATTTATTGGAAAAACAGTCCATTTCTATGCATTCGCTTAATATTGAAAAATAGCGCAAAACTCTATTCTTTAACTGTCTGTCGATCTATTGATAAAAGCGTTGAAAACGTTGTGATTGTCTCTCGATTTGCATACCATTTGTATTATTTTAAAGAATACTCTGAATAATAATCACTTCGTTTTTGTCTTCTTCTGTAAACCCAAAGGGAAGCAACACTTTGAGCACCTCTTCAATCGATATCACAATTTACCCATCAAATGCTTTTCAATCACTTCCCAACCAATTCTTGCATTCGTCTTGCATTTGATGAAAGAATTTAAATATTATTTATTTAATCTATTTGTCATCAAAACCATAATCATGTCTTCAATTTAAATAATTTAATTTCTAATTAAGTTTTTTGTTTAGTATCTCATAAGTTGCCGAATATTTTTAAAAAATTTTATAATCACTTCTTTAAATTTGTTCAAAGCTTTTAATAATATCATAATGATCGAAAATTTAAGCTAAATTTAGTAATCATAATAATATAATATATATTCACAATTTAATTATCAACACAAAGTAAATATATACTGTATATAGATTTACAATGGAATCAATTATTTAATAAATTGTAAATTCTATTCATATTAAATATTTACCGATAAACTTATTTACATTATACCAAACATTATATACATTATGTACATTAATATAACAATATTTATATAACATCTACTTTATATGGAAATATATTTAATTACATTATGCAATGCTTTTAATTGAAGAGAAGTTTACTTAACTGTAATATAGAAAATATTCTTTATATTATAGAATCCATATTACAATTATGTTATCACTTATCGCATAACTCATTATGAAATTTATGTTTTTGCTAATAATTGTGACACTTATTAATAATTGATTGAAACAAATACTGTAATATTAATATCGTATATAATACCAGGCAATTACGTGGACTCATGCAATGAGACGGCATCGTTGGGCAAAGCGGTTGATTTGGTGCAAAACAATAACATAATTGCTTTCATTGGCCCGGCATGTAGTGATGATGTTGAGGTATACATCACTCATTGTATTTGTCGTGTCTTTAAATGTCAATATAATTCATACCGATTGCGAACGACAATTAGGTTGTGGGACGTCTGGCATCGTATAAGGGTATACCGTTATTGACGGGTTTGGGTGATGTGGTCAGTGGTGAGCGCTCGACGTATAGCACTTTAATCCGAACCTCTTATGATCTCTGGGATGAGGCCCGGGCTATACTGGCCTTTCTCTCTCATCTCAAATGGCATCACTTCGGACTCATATATCGTTACGGAGACGTCTATTACCAGACACTGGCCGACCAATTGGTCAACCTTTTGGGTGACGACGAATATTCGCGTAAATTTTTTTGCGAATGTAAGGAGTCGTACGTTAGAGACGCTAATAAAACAATTTTGACTGATTTGGTACAAGTGATCGACAGAATGACTAAATGCGCCCGAAGTAATCATTTAATATTAATTAATACTTATTAACATTTAGATATATAGTAATATTGTAATTACATATGGTTTGACTGACATTTTGATATATGAAATAGTAATAGTGATAATTGGAGGTGAAATGGATGTGCGGGCGATGATGAAGATCGCTCACCAAAAGAAGATGACTCACTCGGGAGAGTATGCCTTCATTCATACGGAACTGATTGAAGGCGAGGCCACCGCTAATACTTCGTGGGCCGGAGGAGCAGGTATTTCAACACTTTTCTCTCTTGTCTTTCTCTCACTATATATTACATGCTATTTAATCACTAAAAAGGCTCAAACAGAGTCTATTTAAATATTATCATTTCAAAACTCAAACCACATTTAAATATAATTTAATTTGACATTTCTTCGCTCACTAGACACTACATATAGTTTTATGGGAATTTATAATAAATCATTTTAACAATTATTTTGTTCGCTTAAAATATAAATCATTCAATGATTAATGAATTCTTAGGATTAATGTAGAATTTGTTTTCTTGAATAATAATACAGCATAAAAATCTATATATGATATTATGGAGGCTTTCTGTGAGTAAATAAAAAATAAGATTTAAAATTATTATAAAACCGAAATACAATAAAAACTATTTATAATGATATCATAAAATTTATAACATTAACCTTTTTACATCAATCATAAATAAAACTAAATATTTGACATTGTTTTAATCAATAACTATTTAGAAATACATATTTAATTATACAAGATATTTATAATCTTTATTTTTATTTACTTATATAATATTTATAATTTTATCGGTCTATTTATTGAACACACATTAGGCATTTTTATAGCATTAGGAAAATGAATTTACATTATCAATAGGATCAATTGGTATAACCATAGGTTTAACATGGAAACTAGTGTTATTAATCGTAGAAGATCATGTTGGTAGTTTAATTCTGTAAAATTATAAATTACCAGAATTTGTCATAAAATGAGTTAAATTAATGGATACATAAATAATATAAATATGAATGGATTGAGTGCTAGTTAGATATAAATCACAATAATGTGGTACTAATCCGAAAAGAGTATCACAGATAATAGACTACAATGTAATTGTAATGTGTTTTGATGTTGTGATGCGTTTGAATGATGGGTAGAGAGCGATGAGACGAAGCAGACATTGAAAGAAGCTTATCAGGCATTACTGATTGTGAGCCTTAATCAGCCTCCCGGAGACTTTTACAAGAATTTTAGCGATGAAGTCAAACAAAGGGCTTTCAAAAGCTATAACTACACGTATAACGAAGAGATGGTTAGTTTATATCAAACAAACAGATCACTCATTCATTAAATGACTAACAACTTGGAAATCCTTTTAACTTTTAGGTTAACTATTTTACGGCTTCTTTCCACGACTCGGTTCTGCTATTATGTCGAGCGCTTCACGATTACCATAATATGAGTGATAGTCAGTCCACTGATGGGCCACTTATTGATGGCCGACAACTGGTCGCCAGAATGAAAAACGTGTCATTCAGTGGTATTTCAGGCGATGTTACCATTGATAGCGATGGCGATCGCATTGCCGACTATGCACTTCTCGATCAAACAGATCAAGAATCGGGTCATTTCAATGTATTACCAATATTTTTACATTTATTAATGCAATAATTTGTGTGAATTGAAACATTAATGATCTGTAAATAATGAAAAGGTTGTAATGCGTTATTTCGGTGCAACTAAACAGTATGTGGGCGTTGCGCCCATACACTGGCCTAATGGCAAAAAACCAGTTGATTTACCCGAATGTGGCTTTGATGCCTCCAAGTGTCCAGGTTTACTTTTATACTTTTAACACATTATTCTATTTATTATTCCTTCAATTATTTAATAAAATCATTTTTGAAATTCATTTTACCATAAAATGCATTCATAAAGTATTCCTTCAAGATATTGATTAGAGACCATTAATTGAATGAATGAATAGCTATTTTGTATGAAAATATTGATAATGTATGGTATGATGAATAGAGCTTCCGTTTTGGGATATACTGACGGCATCACTGCTAACAATATTAGTGTTTTTGTTGGCGATTGCGATACTTATATACAGGTATTGACCATAATATAAGAAAAGGAGATATTAATGAATTGGAAAGCAATGAATGAGTGAATGATTGAATGATTTTTTCTGTAACGTGTAATAGAAAAGTGAAGTTAGAGTCCGCGTTGACGAACATGTCATGGCGTGTCCGGTGGGAAGACATCACATTTCCCGATAACGTAGGCATTAGTGCTTTGAGTCGATTGAGTATTTCAAGTCAAGTGAGTTTATATTAATTGAATGATTTATTTGAAGCCAATCTCTTGAAAAACAAATCACTACTAAGTTTTTGAAAGCGTTTTCCTCTCTCCATGTATTGATTCAGATGTCGAATAAAGGGATGGAAACGGATTGGGTTTGTTGGGTGCCTAATGAACACAGACAAGTCAGTCAAACAATACATACACTCAACACATATTCTTGTTTTGCATATATTTATTCAATAATCGTTAAGTGCTTTCCTTTCGTTCCCATCTTTACAAACAGTCTTTAAGTATCGATTGGTCGCCGAAAACCAATTCTCAGATTCTGACGGGTTTTTACAAAGTAAGCCAAAAACTGGCAAATATTTCACACATTCACTAATAAGTGACGAAAAATGTTTATTTAAAGTCACTTTAAATAAATATTGAGTTCGTTTCAAAATTGCAAAATAAGTTGATTTATAAATAATTGGATTCTTTTAAAAGATTTATTTTTAACGCGTTTTTTAATAAAAATGATTTGAATATATTTGATAATAATAGGGAAATCTGGTGGCCATCAAGCGGTTGCCACAGAAGCGCATAGAACTGACCAGAGATATACTTCTTGAGCTCAAAGTGGTTTGTATTATAGCATTTGTTTCTATCATTTCCAGCATTACATCAAATGTATGGTTGAGTTGTGTGTGAAATGCGAGCCATTCTTATGAATCATTAGATTCTCAATCGTATGATTGAAACACTTTTTTCATTACTCCAAATGCATTCAAATACAGACCTGTTTTTTGTTAATGACTATTGATTTGAATTTATTCCTGTGTTTAATATATTCCTGTAATTCTTTGTGTCCACTATTTGTTTAGTCAAAGGATAGGTTTATGTTTATTCATGAATCGCTGCGTTTGTTTGCGTTGAATAACTAAACATCCAATTACTCAATGCTTGAATTGATATTAGATTTTATTATACATACATTACAATTAAAATAAGTTCAATATTTTATTTATTTCATCTGAAATGTAAATTTTAATTAAGAATTAATGATTTATTTTGAGTTTAATAAATATGTTTGTGAGTGAAGCGAAAACAATGGGTTGAATGCATAATGTTATTAAATTATATGAAACGTTGTATTCATATTTAGAAATACATGAAACACAAAGAATGTGATCGAGAATTGATTTGTGTATAAATAGGCAAAGATTAGGCCATAAGAGCACTTGAAATGGATGTGCGAAAGCGTATAACTCATGTGTTTGTGCTCTTGTGTCTCATTATAATTCTCAATACATCGCCAATAATAGCCAAATGGATGGCAAATCAGGTTTCAAACACTCTTTCCATAGAAAACAAAAGCAAATCAATAATAAATAATTCCATAAAAAGCCGAAAATTGATAAAAGATTTCTGGTTTTTCGATCAATTAATAATCTCCACTCAAATCTGCTTTATTGCAGTCATAGCTCACTATAAATATCCTATTTTGAACAGTAAGTACTGTTTGGGTCTTAAAATGCATTTCTATATCACTAGACATTAACTCAAGAGTCGATTGTTTGTAAACTTATTTTTTCGGTCACATGGAGTCGAATCCATCTTTTATTTGATTTAATATCTAATAAACCCTTAAATAGAAATTTAAGAGATTCTCAAATTGATTGATAGGCAAAGGGAAAAGGTTTTGACATTTTAAAGTCCGGGCAAACAATATATAACAACTGTTTTTATCAATTTTGAAACTAGAAGAATATTTCTCTAACACTTCTGTCCATCACTTATGGTATAAGTAAATAAAAATTGCTTTAAAAATAGCAATCAATTGATCCCACAATAAAAGCGAAAATAATGTCTATTTATCTCAATACTAAACTATTATATTGTACAGGGTGTTCAACCATGGGCGCAGGTTTTAATTTTTTTATTACTCAAAAACTACAAAAGATATTTTAATCAAATCACTTGCAAATTAAAGATAAATGTTTGGCATTTAATTAAAAATATTTTCAAAATGGCCGCCATTTTCCGTTATCACGTGATCGAGTCGGGAGCAAAAAACCTATCGATCGCTGCTCTAGTCATCTTTATTGGAATGGCTTAAATCACATCTTCGAT